GTCCACTGACCTGGCAAACAGTAGAGAGTCCAGAAGGCAGCCTGTGATGTCCTTCATGTGGGCCAACACCTTCATCTTTCAAATTACGTCATGATGTCACATCAGGGCAACAGGCATGTACTCACTGAAGCCTGTGAGGGTTTCTTGGGGAACGGGATGAGAGCTGAGTATTTGGAGCAGGAGGGGACTTCACCCAGATCCAGTGATCAGTTGAAAATCTGTATGAAGGTGGGAACCAGCTGGTCAGCACAGCTGGATCTGCTGCCTTACTGATGTTTGGAAGAGCTGACACACAGAAGTGATTAGGCGAAAGTGACAAGTGTAGTGATTACTTGTATGACGTGCAGTGGCTTTTTTTGTTTCTGGTAAAACTTATTCAAAGAGCTTCTGATTCAACAGAGCAGGGTTATGTAAAATTGGTTGGTACATACTGGACACATTGGATAATAGGAATCTGTCATCACCTCCATATCCTCAAAGATCCACATGATGATCTTCATCAAGATGGTCAGTGGTGCAAATTTTCACGTCAACAGCACACCAAACTTGAACTCCAAAGCCCCATGCAAATTTACTTGGCCTACACTGCAGCAGGTGCATGAGGGAATCTCCTCACACCAAACCCAACAACGAGACAGGACTGCAAAAAAAAAAAACGTTTTTGAACTCCATGCCTAATGGTTGTAAATGTGCAGCAACTAATGTTTCAAGAAACGGCATCATTATCACTAGGGTTAGGCGGTGGCGGTGGAATTTGTTGATGTATATTTGTATATGGTGTGGTAATATGGCATTGGCTAGAGATAAGCAAGACCTGCACCTTTCTATGCTATAAGATGCAGCTGTTAGATAATGAGGGCATGCTTTTTCTTAAAACTTTAGTTGCTGCATCTTATTGAAGGATAATACAGGCAACATTTTATGTTTTTCTTCTTGTCAACAAATCCCAAGAGCAACAGGATCAGCTGTGCATGTTTATAGGTCATAGATATGTATTGGTCCTTTGGGAAATTCATAGTGTGTCATACAGCAAACATCAGACCACCAACCAGACAGCTGCTTTACAAAAACAAACATCACCCGAGTGCTATACAAGTTATACTATAGGCTCGTGCAGAATACACGACTTTCAGCGTCGGCCGTGCCGTTCACACAACTTGAAGTCTTGAAGTCGTTGTGGCGTTCGCACTACGTGACTGATCGGTGACAGGGACACACACTACAGGAGCTGACAGCAGCTGTGTCACCCGACGCTGGTCTCCAAACCACGTTTTGTCAAGAAAACCCACGTGAAATGTGAAACGGGAAAAGAGCGATCCTGCACACGAAACAGCTTGTTATTATAAAGACAAAGAATCTGGGTGAAAGGATGGATTAACACACGCAGGTAGCAGGGATCATCTGAGCTACTGTGAGGTTCCAACTCACGGCCCAAAAAGGAGAACAACAAACGTTTTTTCAGATGAGGACTGCAGCTTACTTTGGCTTCAACTCAACAATCAATCATGATTTCAGCTAAATGCTAAAGTTGCTGTTACCTCGTCTGTGGTCCGCTGGCAGAACACCGCTGCTTTCTGATCAGGTGCGGTCGTGCTGTTGCCGAGGCAACATAAGTTTTGTTTGACGGTGGACAGACGGTCACATTACAGAGTTGTTGTTTTCTTTAGCTTGAAATAATCACAGACTTTGGACACTTTCTTCTTCGTCCCTCCCTGTTTTCTCTCTTCCTCCACTTTGCAAACAGCGCCATCATAATCACGTGGTGTTCACAGCGTCAGCGCCATGTGCGACAGTAATAAATGTCTGTGCAAAACAGCGCGCTGTACTATAGTTACATGGATTAAACGAAGCATCGACGCAAAGAATTTGCATTTCTTTTTGCATGCATTTTAGTAATCGATTTAATCGGTGAATCGTTTCAGCACTATTCTAATGTAGCATGACTAAGTCAGTTAAAGTGGATCAAATCTGCAGAATGATTCTCCATATCAGTCTAACCACCAACATGCACATTTCAGGTGACAACAACACCTTCTTCAACACAGATTATTAATACTTCACACTCCTGCAGACACACACTGAAGCCTGTCTGAATTTCTAGAAGGCAAGATTATTGACTGTGATTGATTTTGAAACATCTCTGGGGATCTCCAACGCATTTGGATCAAGCTACACACACACACACACACACACACACACACACACATTCACACGCCACAATAAAACACTGGAGCGTCTTCACCATGCTATTACAGTCAAACTGGCATCTTAAGATGCAACCTTCAGGTACTCGATCAGGACTCAAATGGGGAAAGATAACAAGTCTGGAAGAGATTTTTTCCTACAGGACAATGCTTTCCCATGCACCTTAGGGCACGATTTCCATGCAACAACTGTGGAGAGCTGTTTTGATTGCTTTTCAATCATGCGAGACAAACACTAATTAGATTTTTTTTGAGGAACTGCAGAATTATAGGCTTCTTTCATGAAGCGTGGATGACTGGCACTTCTGTGATAGCTACAGCGTCTTTTTAGATCGACTGTCTACTGTCAAGACCTTACTCTCTCTCTATGTATATGTTTATATACACAATAAATATATATATACACACACATAGAGAGAGTAAGGTCACTTTGCACACTTTTGTTGCTTTTATTTGTCTCTTGTTTTGGTTTTTACATTAGAATATTATTGACACCGTATTTTAACTGACAGAGGAAAAAATAGTTGTTTCTTTCACTTCCTGCTCTCTGCTCCTGGTCTCATAAGTGTCTTAATTTAGTGTAGGCTCTTGGTGATATCCACATCCATCCTCACAACCTATCTTTACCCAACACTGTGGCTGAAAACCCTCATGTCATTTGTGCATTCAGCATTACAGACTTGAATTAATCAAGCCACATGGCTTTGGCCATTGCTGTCGCCGAGCCGTGCCTGTGCTTTGGTTGTTATGATCATGGCTGTGACACATTAGTTTATAACGGGTGTAACACTAACTGAATGCAGGGGCTGGGCACTGCTTTGTGTGGGTGCAGTGAATTGACATGGTTGTGCTGACAGAGCGTTGTATTGAAGCTACTGTATTCTCACACTTCTGGGGTCTACTTGTAACACAGCTGTCAACTGGCTTAACAATGCTTTATTGGCTAAAGTTATAAGAGCAGTAAAGAGTACTGACAGTGTAGTTACCGTAGCTATGTTGATAGCATCTTAGATATAACCACAAATGCATACGTAGTCTGAGCATTAACCATATCCACAGCCGCAGCTTCAACCAGGCAGAGCAGCTGTGCTCACAGCCAGTGGCGCTATGCTGTCAGAGCTCTGCCTTTTGAAAAGAGTAATGAGCGACAAAGGAATAATTCAATTTATTTATTTATATAGCTCCAATTCATAAAAGTTATCTTATTGTACTTTTCATATAGAGCAGGTCTAGACTGTACTCTTTGTAATATTATTTACAAGCACAATTCCAACCATGAGCGAGCACTTGGCGACACAGGCAAGGACAAACTCTCTTTTAGTACTGTGAGGTGTCATATCATCTCTTTGTTCTGTCGTATAGGCAAAGTGTTTCCCCTTAACTGGCAGTATATCAGAACTGGACTGGACCAACACACTAAATGTTCCTATGGATCAGGGGAATTCAGAAAATATCAGGAGGGAGTGCAAAACGTACTGCGAGGTAGCGCAAAAGTAATTGCATGGTAATGTGAGGGAAGACTGCTGACCCTCAGGGACCCGAAGCTGTTGGACCCACTGGACTGGACATATTTTACAGTACACTGTATACATATTTTATATGCATTATGTGTTTGTGAAAGGCTTTTAAGAGTTGGCTGCCACCCTTTTGTTGAGTAATTTACAGCTGAGCTAGTGAATTCTAAAGCACTTTTTCATCTTATATGATTAGATTTGCTGAAGACTCTTGACTACGGCTAAGCCTTTTCCAAAATACTCAAAGTTCATAAATAGCTGCGTTGGTAGCATTTGGAATATGCATTCTTGTTATTAGAGGACCAAAAAGTAAAAATGAGCTATGGGTCAAAATGAAGGACATTAACAAGATTAACAAGTCACTGTTAGGCATGGACTATAACAACCAGCATTTACTGTTGTACGCTGAAACAATACAACAGTATATTGTACTGGATCATACTGAAGTAGTAGCACTAGTAGTGGTAGTAATTATTGTAGAAGTACCCCGTTTGGCAATGCTTTATTTTAGGGTTCTGCTATTTTTTTTTTATTCCTGTAAATAACTATAATTTAGTACTAATTAAAGGTAAAACGGAGGCCACATTTGTAGAGAGTTATTTGACTTCAGTAGCTGTTGATTTTCAGACAGCTGCAATTAAATCCAACTAAAAGTAAATTATTCATCATTCATTTATTATCGGAAACTTTAATACTATACTATTTATAGTTGTGCAAACATTTGTACAGTTTATTTACATAGTTGAAGTTATTGTAATGCATATAATGGATAAAGCTTTTTTAATGTAATTTCTTTAAGTTTTCATTTAATTTAAATTTTTACCATTCTGACAAGACGAATAACAAAAACAATGTTTGGAGGTTTTGAAAAATGCATTTCCATGTGCCAACCAAATGAATTCTGTATATAGTGTGCATATATTTCCTCCTTTCTTTTTATATTTACAGATGATAAATCTATCACACACTGTATTCACAGTACTCTTTCCCACACTTCCCACTCATGGAATGCTTGTTAACAGGAGTTGAAATTGTCACTGGTGTGTTAACATAAACCTGCAACAGTTCAAGTGTTATTTTTTCATTTTGTTTTACTCGTTTAAACTTAACGTTTTGCCTATCTTTCACGGTTATTTCATATTCTAGATTTGTTTTTATACCCCAACCGCCCCCCCCGGAGAATGTAATATTCCTGCTGCAAGCCATTTGTCTGCTGATTTGTCATGTGCTGTATTCCATGTTAATGACAGTCTGTTTCTCCCCCTCCTGTCTCGGCTTGCAGACGGACGCCGCGCTTATGTATGATGCTGTGCACGTGGTGGCCGTGGCTGTGCAGCAGTCTCAGCAGATCACTGTCAGCTCATTACAGTGCAACCGACACAAGCCCTGGCGCTTCGGGAACCGCTTCATGGCCCTCATCAAAGAGGTAGATGCTTCTCTACCTGCTCCCCATTCTGTCTTCTTCATCAACATACACAGCCCCTTCACACAGAACACACATGCTCTCAGGAAAGCAGAGAAAGATACGGAATTTAAATAAGGCTGAGAGCGTCAAGAAGGGAATAATGAAATGATTTCTCTCTGTATTTATTTATATGGTAATCATTTTTTCAGTGTACATACATACTCCCAGGGCAGCCATCTTAAGCCTGCTCTCTGCTCTCATTAATCAACCATGCAGAAACAAAAACACAACATCATCTACATTTTTGGTAATTGCTCCACAGTTCGCTGCATTTGTGAAGCTGGGACGGTTAATCCAAAGCTTTCTGTCTGTAGAAAGGCCGGGGATTAGGCAACCTATATTTAGGGCTCTCTAACCCTCAGTTCCCCTTAAGTTAGCAGAGATCATGAGAAGACTACAAAGACTGGAACTGCGTGATGGGAGCTTCTATGCAAATCAACACATCAACTTGGATGTATTTATATTAAGCTCACAGTTTTTCCCCATGCAAATAAAATTTTTCTTCCCTGACCCTCCCCTCGTTCCCTCTCTGCTTTCCATCTTCTCTCCATCTGCAGTTTTTGTCATCTGACTAGAAGCTTATAGTCACACAGGAGGATGCCAGCATTTATATGACAGTGCTGTTTAGCTTAATGGCCACAGTGCAAAAGTCACTGGCGATGTTTGTCCTAGTCCAGAAGGATGCTCTGCATAAGCCTTCTTCACAGTATAATGTCCTTTGATTGTTGTAAGAAATTAAATGCATATAAATTTGCTCTGATTGTGATTGCACTTCAGATTCAGTGAGAATATCCGTAGGGCATGTTGGAGATATGTTAAATACCCAAGGCAGTGTGGTGTTGCTTTGAATAAGCTACAGTACAGCGTGAGCCGCTCCACTCTGCAACAGCGAGGGCGGGGTATGCTCGCCGGGCCGTGCTCATATACGCTCCGACGTGGTAGTGAATTCTTGAAACGGAGTAATCGACTGCGTTTACAATTGAGGTTCTAAGGAAGCGCTGAATATTTAGCGGCATCTCCGTCACTGTGGTGTTGTTTCAGTGTTATTAATGCTTTAGGTGAAACCAATGTTAGATGCACATCGAGGCGTCACATCGCCCCCCGTGAACAGGCACTGCACTTGTAAATACAGGAAACTGTGTGTCCCCAATTACTAGCAATGAATAAACTTTATAATGTATATGATAAAGGAGAATGTTGTCATCTGACTATTTAAGTGGTAAGCTTACCTAAAAACAAATCTCTTTAGGAATGATGCCGGATATATTGTACATTTATCAAATCACATTTATTCACAAGTTTCATACATTTCAATTTAATAGAAATAGAAGAAGTTATAGAAGTAAATGTTTTGTAGGGAGTGCTGTTTATACACACTGTGGATCGGAGCGCAGCCTTAAATTCAGGATTCAAATTTTAAACTCTAACTTTTTCACATGTGGCCTTAATCCTCTTCTGTAGAAAGAAGTATAACATGGATCTGTTCAGATATCCATGAAATTTAGTATGTTTAATGATGCTCCATAGAGGATTGTCCCTGGCTTCTAGTACCAAAACTAGGACAAACTTCACAATTGTACACAAAAAATAACTAAATGTAATATGCAGTTAGCCATGATATTTTGAAACAGTCATGCTTCCTCATGACCTTTCCTCTACTAGCGCGTTTTGGAAATAGTATGTTGTTTGTTCAGTCCAACACTTATACCCACAATTTGTGGGATGTAATGAACACTGCAGTCTCTACTAACACTCTGTCTAACTCTATATGGGAACATTTCCTTTGCGGAATCACAGCTGGATTTCACAACAGCCTGCATAGTGCAATTGTGGTCGATGTGAAACCTGAGATCATCATAGCAAAGCATTAATAGGAATCAGTTTTAGTGGACAGAAACGGTATATTCTTGTTTTACTGGTGTCACTTTAATCAAATGACCCCAGTTTCAGAACCACTTTGCTGTGCAGTCCTTTGTATTAGCTCTCAACCTCAGTGCCTCTATTTTAGAATTTCTGACCAGACCAAACCCTCCTTAAAAGCCCCTGCCACCCATTTTTCAGCAGTTGAACCACAGGGTCACTGAGCTGGTATGTACTGACCAGTTGGTGTTGGATGCTTTGCTGTGGGACACAGGGAACAGAAAGTCAGCATGGAATGTTGACCTGTTGACCTCTTGATGTTCAAGCTTTTTTACCGGCTTTCGTGCTGTGTAAAAAAAGCTTGAACATCAAGTGCTTTTTATATACTTTCAACCTTGCTAGATTCCCGGACAACACAGATTATCTGCTAGCCTGACGCCTGAGCTACTGTCTCTACCTTTTAAGTCTGTTGGCTCCCTAACAAGGACAGTTACATGAGAAAAAATAAAAATTACTAGAGCTGGAAGATCAGTGAACCTTTCCCTGTTCCATCGATTAAGCCCCCTAAGAAATATCTTGACAGAAAGGGTTCGACCTTGGTGGAGCATGAATATGCTCAGTAAGTTTGCAATCCACATAAGAGGTTTTGATATTTAGATATACAAACAGATATACAAATAGAAAGTTCTTACTCTTTTACTGCTTTGTCTCAAACACTGACATGAATGTGGAGGTGTGTACTCGATGCTGGTTGAATGTCTGCTCTGTGTCTTTCTGCCTCTCTCGCTTTAGGCCCACTGGGATGGCCTGACGGGGAGAATCACTTTCAACCGGACCAATGGCTTGAGGACAGACTTCGACCTCGATGTCATCAGTCTAAAGGAGGAGGGGCTTGAGAAGGTTGTGTGTCTTTAATGTGTGTGTTTGTGTGTATTTATGACCATGTGATGATGAGCTAAAACACGCATAAACACACACAACCAATGTGCTGTAATACTCCGTTAACATGTAGGTGTAAATGCGTTTGTAGTCCATTAAGTGAGGGCTGCCAGCTAACTCTGGCAGCCATAGAGGACTTAAAGTCACAGGTAACAGCTGCTGTAAGTAGCATATGGCATATCTAAACATATTGTAGGCATAAAAACAGAATGAAATACAAATAGCATTTAATTAGTTGTGGTCTTTTGAAAAACTGCATGGGTGGATAAATAAAATTCCTAGAAATAAAGCTCACCGTCCTGGGGGAGAAGCTTACTTGGCACAAGAATTTTGCTTTCTTAAGTTTCCTCAAGAAATACAGTCACCTGCTCCACCTCAGCTCCACTGATGTAGACGGGAGCGCTCGTCTCATACAGGCCATGTGTTTCCAGCACATAGACTTACAGGTATTACGTTACAAGACGTGGACATATGGATATATTACAAGCATGGACCGGGTAAAGCAACAGTAAACACACACAAGTGCACATGTCACAGTGGTTTGGATGGTTTGCTAGGCTACGTCATCAACAAGCCGGCACGCGGGGCAAACGTCTGCTGTCAAAACGGATCGCAGCGGGAGATACATCTTGAAAAAAGCCAGAGGGGAGCAGACACATAGGCTACAGGGAGAGAGAGGCAGAGAGAGGCAGGTCGAGCCAGTGTGTCTGCGGTGAGAGGCCAGATGTGTAGGTGTGTGTGTGTGTGTGGGGGGGGCAGGTAGATTTTTAAAAGAATAATAATAATAATGTCCGTGGGGATTAAAACATGCTGTCACAGGGTCTATCGGCCCAACTCTACTCTGAACCTTATTGCTCCTGTCTGCATAATAAGAGCTCACATAGAAGATTGTTATTTGATTGTTTTCTGGGATGTTCACAAAGAAGCAGCACAGTGACAGTTTATAGGGTTTTTTGACCAAAAAGATGGATCACGACGGTTAAAGTGCATTGTTTCCGTAAAGAGATGGAATACGTTTAAGAAGGTTGGTTAGACTAATAAATCTATTATGCAGAAACACCACACAGTAAAGGTTTTGTTTGTTTGGTTGGCCACTAATCACAGGGTTGGCGGTTTAATCCCTGGTTGCTACTGTCCATATGTCAAAGAGCCTTTCCCAAAGTACATGCTACATGCTACACCAATTAGTGCAGAGTGGTAGTGGCTTATAAAACCCTCTATTGCTGAGTGAGCAGTGAGGGTGGCTTGTTGAATGTATAAAACACCCTTCTGCTGCATGATGGAAGGCCTTCTTTCAAATGTGATGTAACATTTCACCATACACAGATTAACAACTGAGCCTAAATGTAATTATTGTGTTTAATTAAAATTAGAATTATTCTTCTCATACAAAAATCTTCAGCCAGAACAAAAGTAAATAAAATGACTATATATAAAACTAGATGTATCATGTATCAAGCAATAAGCCATTAAAGACAAATATTTAAATCTTTACATATTTTAACTGTTTTAATTGCTTGACTACTTTTCAGACCATATAATGCTTCAATATAATGTTAAATTTCTGTTTGGAAATGTTGTGTTTCTTTTTGTATTTCTGAATGTGATATTTTCCATGCAAAATAAAGAGGTTCAAGATATGTAGCCTAGTCTTTTGCAATCAATATCAATCTTATCATAAAAGAATATAATGTCTCATAAATCATTAGCTCAATCATGGAATGAAATGAATGGATTCATTAGCTTAAACACTTCTCAACATCACTTCTGAATCTTAATAAAACCGTTGTTTGTTTGCTACACGTATGGTGGCAGTGAGTGACATCAGATCCAATTCACATTAGGGAAAGGAAAGTTCATCCAAAAGCTGGCCGCTGTATTTATATCCTACGCATTCAGGGAACTCGATTTGGCTGTGAGTCCACGCCGTGACGGAGTGGAAGTTGGGAGGCTGTAGTTTGGGAAAGGCCCAAAGTGTCCTTGGATAAGACACTGAAGCCCAAGTTTCTCCAGATGGGCGGGCGGGCACCTTGCACGACGGCTCCGTTTCCATCAGTGTTTGAATGTGTGTGTACAGTACAGGTTTGCGTGTGTTTGTGTAAACACGTGAATATGTTCCTCTATGGTTTACATCTTTTCCTCGGAATGGCATTTTTCCAGTGTTCAGCAGTCCATTTAAAATTCATGAGATTATCAGCAGGAAGAGAAAGTGCTAACACTGCCGATATAAATGATATTCTCAAATGCAACTGCAAACACTTCACACTCCAGCATCCTCGCCGGTGCTCGCCTCTCAGCAGCTCCTGACCTCTGGTCTGTGTTGCTGTGTGCGCCTGCACCTCCATGAATAATTTACTCTATTAATAAAAACCCCCTTCAGAAGCCCTCAAGCCTCATGAAGACTGAATTAAAGAGTTGATTTGCAATTACAAAGTCTATCTTGGGCCCTCGTGCAGGACATCAGAGGAGTGTGTGGCTGTTGTGGGCTGGGGATAGGGGGTGCTGACGTGAGGGCTTGAGGCACAGCTGAGAAAGGACAATCGAAGCCCTGAGGTACAATCAAATAGCTTCACACCATCCTCGTCTTCCTCCTTTCATCCCCAGCATGCCCCCCTCTTCCTATCATCTTTCCTCAGTGTTGATCTCCACGGTGCCTCCAAATGGCCACGGGGCCAATCCAGATCCTGGCTCACAGCACTAATCCCTGCGGGAATCTATAAGAAAGTGCACACTGACAGTGTTGAGGCTTTACCCAGCTGGCAATTATGTCCTCATGGTGCTGCACAATTTTCAATGTTTCAGTGTTTACATTCACATCGGACGATTGGATGGTGGTTCAGGTTTTGCCAAACATAAATACCAAGGAAAGAAAACAATAAAACAAACATTAGTACTGGATGTAAATAAAACGTTGTCACTGAACGTATTTTCGGATCTTGTTGAGTTGGACGACATTGACGTTCTTGACAAAAAACAGAATTAGTTGTTACTTTGGTTTTTGCTCTTTCTAAATAGACTGAAACTGAATGTTCCAGAAATACATCTTGCTGCGCTTCCTCTCACAATGAACAAATTTTAAAGAGAGAAACTGTCAGACACTTGGCTGTTTCTGGGTGGAAGTATTTACACTGCTTTGTAAAGCAAAGTTTAGATGAGCCAAAGGCCTCCTATTAGTGAGGAGCACTCCAACGCAACACTAGTCATGCTGTGTCTATGTGCAGCTGTCCTTTATTATTTGTTTTGCATCCCTGTATAACTGGATTTTACACACATCCATCTCAAAATAATTAAAAAAGTGTACTTTGTTTAACAGATTGGTACCTGGGACCCTCCAAGTGGCCTGAACATGACTGACAACCAGAAGGGGAAGACGACCAACGTCTCTGATTCCTTATCCAATCGATCCCTGATCGTCTCCACCATACTGGTACTCTATTTTTCTTATTAATCTATTTGTTCTGATGGAGAATTTGCACATTTTGTTTCAGCAGCTTTTACGTTGTATTGTGTGACAATAATGTCCATCAACAATAAACACAAAAACTGATTTGGTATCAAAATGATCTACCTCAATAGTCCATTTTTTCATCAGTATTTACTGTGTCATTATGTTGGCCAAATGGACTGCTGCTGTTGTGTTTGCTAACAGTTTGCAGTTGGTATAATTGGTTTCAAGACGGGATTAGTAAGTGGACAAAGCAGGCAACTGCCCCGAGGCCCTAAAACTGCAGGGGCCCCAAAGGCCCCATGTTCATTGTGTGGAGATTAATTTTAGAATCATTTAATAATAAATCTGAACACGTTTTTTAATAATATTCACCACTAAAGTGGAATATAAAGTGGTATAAACTTCTGGCCCTTGGGACTGGGAAAATACAACACTTACAGTCAAGGCCAAAAATATGGGAACAGCTGCATGTCTGTTATATAATGCACTACTTACTCCCTACTCCCAGAAAATTGCTGCAATTTTAAATGCTTTGGTGTTTATTTCTTTTGTATTCAAACAATCCCTCATTACAATCACTCTTTCATCAATTTTCTCTTTCATCCACGTCCAGGGAGATTAGCTGCCGTGCCATGGGCTGTAAACTTCTCAATGTCTTGCACAGTGGACACAGAACCTTTAAGATCTCTGGAGATGGACTTGTAGATTGTCCATGCTTTTTGAAATTTTGGTTCTCAAACTCTTTTATCTTTTTTCTTTTGTCCATGCATGCAGATGCACACCACAAAGGTTGAGTCAACCTTTCTCTATTTTAACACAAGGTAGATTTAGGGGCGTTCACACCTACCTCGTTTGGTCCGGACTTTCAGACTTTTCGGTTTGGTCCGAACCAGAATTGCAGGTGCGAAACCTCTCACGGATCACGGTCCGGACCAAACAGACGAAATTTGGTCAGACGAAAAGAGGTAGTCTCGGTCCGGATCCAACTGAACCGTGGTTCGGTTCGTTTCTGGTGTGAAAGCATTTTTTGGATGATTCGGACTTTCAGTCTATTTACAGGACGTTTGGCAGTTGCACAGAGATGCATTGAAATAAGGACACAACTATAAAGCACACTGCCACATACACACATTTTCTTTGGTTTCTCCTGCAAACGGAGGTGCAGAAGGATCGCTTGCCGACATTATAATGTTTGTACAACGAGGACGTTTAATTGGGAATTTGAACTATGATGCTGCAGGTAGTAATGCCGTAATAACGATATAGTGGCAAATATGCATATGTTCATTTTTTGGTCATTCATTCTTGTCAAAGCTCCCCGCTGAACTGTTTCATGAACCAATCAATGTCAAGTACAGGGAGACGCAGCCCACATGGATGATGACGACAGGACGCTAGTCTGTCATGTGAAGTCCTTTAGTGCGGTCGCAGAATTGCAGTGAAACCAAAAACTAACCGAACGCATCAAAATGTATCAAAACATGAACTTTGGTTCGGCGCCCCCTTATTTGTCACAATATAACAGGTTATAGAGTGAAACTCCCTTCTGCTATGTAGCAGACAATATACATAAAGAAGCATTTATAAAAACGGTAAACAGAAATAATCTGTCATCAGTGGAGCAGTGCTGAGGATGAATTAGAGTTTAAGAGTCTGATAGCCTGGGGGGAAAAAGCTGCTCTGCAGTCTGGTGGTGCGGCAGCAGAAACTTCTAGATCTCTTCCCAGAAGGCAGCAGGGTGAACAGGCTGAGGCTGGGTGGGTTCTGTCCTTTAGTATCTTTGGGCTCTGTGTAGACACCTCACCTCACTGATATCACTGATGCTCGGGAGATGGGTACCAATGATCTTCTGAGCAGTTTAATCACCCGCTTTAGTTTCACTCTTCTCCCGTTTCCAGATCCGCTGCACTCAGTCCAGTCCCCACACATTCTATTCCAATACTGATAAATGTATTTCTGTCATCGGTAATCACAATTAGATGAGTTTTTGTAAAAAAAAAAAAAAAAAAGGAGAAGACTGTGTGAGTTCTATATTGCCAGCACTTGTGCATTGTTACAGGTGACTTTAATTACAAATTGAAGAAGCATGCTTGAAATACAATTATTTCTGAATATTTATATCTGAAGGTGCTGAAAATTGTGCCCAGTCCATTTTTGGAGTTCTGTGTGGATTTGGCTTTTTTTTTCTCTGATTTTTTTGTGTTGTTCCAATGCAAATAAAAGAAATAAACATGAGACCAGGAGATACCATGAGACATGAGATACCAAAGCATTTGTAATTACGACAGATTTCTTGGAGAAGTAGTGCATTATGTGACAGACATGCAGGGGTGCCCACATTTCTGGTCATGACTGTAACACCTATACTGAAAACACTTCACTGGCTGCTGGTACAGTACAGAATTGCTGCTTGTTTACTGATCTGCTGCAGCTGCATTGCAACCCTGTCTTGTAGGAAGACACTGATAACAGCAAAGGAAAACAAAGAAATAATAAGGTTTATTAATTCAACAGTCGGTGAATTGGAAAGTTTTAGAAAGCTCATGGTTGAGTGACCCCGACCCGTTTGGTAGACATAAGCCGGTTCTGTGCAGTTCACTAATGTTATCTAACAGGAATTCTGTGTAATGAAGTCTGCAAAATTCAAACACTTACCTCTTGCTGCCATTTTGAACTGACAATGTGCAAATTAAATGTTGCAGCTTTAAATGCCTGTTTATAGCCAAATCAAAGTGTAATGGCTCTTTATGTGGGACCAATCACGGAAGGCTAGAACAGCTCTCAGCCATAACAGACTCTCTCCAAAGATGCTATTATTTTTAAGCTTTTCCTCTCGAAAAAAATCCTTCAGTGCTTTGCCTGAGCTGCCCTTTGTGTTTAAAGCACTTTCTGGGGGTTTTGCTTCTCTCTGACTCAATTGAAGTAGAGTAGCCCAAAGCACAGCACTCCCAAATTGCCAGTTGACTTCACCACCGTGGAGAACTCCAATTTGGTGGGAGCGGGCTGAGGCAGGGAAAAGTGACTGATTGATTGTCCAATGAGATCCCATGGTTCATGGCTCCGCCTGCTCCTGACCAATTTATCAGGTAGATTGTGTTTTGGTCTCCCTTGCCAGTTGTGCCAAAAACAATGGACATTTTTAAAGATCGCTTGTGTTCGTTTTTTTTAGATTATTTTGTCAGAAGTTCAAAGATCATAATGCATATATATAAACTTCACATAAGTAAGATTGAGCAGTTAAATGAATGAAGACAATTTAAAAATAGGTTTAGTTTTAGATTTGGATTAGTTAGTGGCCAGTCAGACATTGCTTAGGTGAGTGCCGTGGTGATTTCAATTTCAGTCAATTTCAAGTCAAGACACTCTTTAAAGCTGTGACATCCTCAACCTATCAAGGCTGTATTAACTCACCAGGGGGACCAAGAGCAACAATTAGCTGTGTGCCCCTTTTGACCCCAAATTATTTCCATCGACCCAGCACTTCAGCACAGTGTCTTGATGCCTTACAGTGAGTGACAAAACCTATCCAGGTTGCACATCACCAACAAACAGTTTCAGCATGTAACTAGAAACCACAAGTTGTTTTTACAGCTCTCTTTGTTTACAGATTAAAAAAAGAAGAAACAGGGTGGAAGTCATTTAGGCTAACTGCCGTGGAGTTTTTTGGCAAGGGCAGAATGGAGGTTGTTTTCAAGCATGTGGGGACCGCTGCTTGGGCCTTTGACCAGTTTACGATGTCATTTAAGACCTCAGTCCGCTGCATAGCCGAGGCCTTTGAGCAAGCCTCCTGGTATGCCATCAGGGCCATCAGGGCCGGCAGCCATACGTGCTTTAATCCTGCTCAGTGCGGCACACAAGTTGGTGGGGGATATTTAGAAACATTAGCCTAATAAAGTTATTAATATTAAGGTCTTTTCCCGGTTAGGTACAATGTTACTACCACTCTACTTCTATCTCACAGCAACCAGCAGTGATTTTGCATTTAGTCAGCCGGCACTGGACTTTAGTCTTAATAGAGTGTCACTATTGTCTAATAGAGCGATAATGCATCAGTCTGTTAAGGAGCATTCTCTCGGCTCGAATCTGACCATCGCCAGGGCCCTGTACTGTCGACAGTTTCAATTTGCGCAGCTGATCCTTTGAGCGGCAGCAAAAGGCAACAGCGTACTGAGAGGGGTTTTTCCTATCTGTAAAAGAATGGCATGTCCATATCTGCAGGTATGGAGACGTTATGTTTGGAATGACGGTTTCCTCAGGGATCCGAAAATGTGTCCAGTAACACAAAACAAATGGGACCGTAAGAAAAACACTCTGCTCCTGACCAGTGAGTTAGACCTTCACTTAAAATAAAAAACAAAGTTCAGCGCTGAAAGTTGAACACCTCATTATCACTGCTCATGCAGCAGACTGCAAAGGGAGCTCTGTGCTCTCTCCTTTTAAAAGTCCAGTGTGTAAAGTTTCTGTTGACAGAAATGCAATATAAGATCTATGACTATGTTTTCAGTGGTGTATAAAGACCTTACATAATGAAGTGTTAGTTTGGATTACCTTAGAATGAGACATTTCTATCTACATAACCCTTACATGGACGTCGCCATGTTGCACCACCACGTTTCTACAGTAGCCCAAAATGGACAAACAGGGCTACAGATTTCGGGCTAACGTTTCATCACGTTCGAAGAAAAATAAGTAAAAATACACAGCAGGGGTCGGCAAACAAGTTTTTCATCGGAGTAATTTTTTACCCATGAGATGGTGGGTGAGAATCTAGGGCATAATATTTAATCCAAAGGTTACGGTGTTTGGTTAGCTCACTTGATAAAGTGTAGGACTCTCATGTGGAATGTCGCATGTTCAGTCCCACGTCAGGTGTCAAAATTTTTTTCCCCCATTCAACAAATTGATCATGCAGCGACTGTTTCACATGGGGACACTGCAGCACAAGCTTTATTGTGAGTGTTCTGGTGTTTGATCCGCAT